AGTAGTCGAATGCGTTGACACCTCCACTTATCTTGGAAATCTGATCAGCCCTAATGGGTTGGTGTCTGACGAAATCTCAGCACGGACTCGAAAAGCTCGTTTGGCTTTTGTCAACTTACGTCACCTATGGCGAAGGAGAGATATTCGTCTATCAATAAAAGGACGAGTATACTGTTCAGCAGTCCGTTCTGTTCTACTTTATGGCTGCGAAATGTAGTCATTAAGAGCAAAAGATACTCGTAAGCTACTAGTAATTAATCACATATGCCTTAGAAATATTGTTCACATCTGTTGATATCACCGGATAAGTAATAGTTATGTTAGACGCAGGATATTAGGAAATGATGTTAAATCAGTTGATGAGTTTGTGAATCTTCATCGACTGAGATGGTTGGGCCACGTGCTACGTATTCCTGAACACTAATTACCACAACGCGCAACGCTGACTAGTGTAGGAGATGGCTGGAAGAAGGTTGGGGACAGCCAAACCATAACATGGTATCAGCGCAAAATATAACTTTCAGCACAAATGATTCCAACGAGTTTCTTTCACAAACACGAGAGAGGTTCTCATAGATTCTCATGTATAGGTGTCTTGTTCTACTACAAGATGTACAAGATGAAATATTTGGTACATCACTTGTCAGCAGTTTGCAAGATTTTCAATATCTAATGATCTTAAATGATCCATCACTTACTACTCACTGCCTTGCGCAGGCTCCACAATATGGCAAAATCTTTCCTAAAAATCATCTATCGAGAATAATCGAGAACAGTAATGAATGATAGGTAATACACAAGAATCAAGAAGTCGTCAATATAAATGTCAAACCGTGCGAAAAGCATGTAGCCACTCTATATGAAAGTTGAATACAAAGCTTTCCTTGATAACAATACCGTAAAAGAAAACGAAGAGAGAAAATGGTAAAGCATTACACTACAATAAATTACCTTTGACATTGTTTTCATTACGGAATCTCTAATAGTACAAACTTCATGGTATTACAATAAGGTGTTTGAGTGCAGTTCGTGTTTCAGGCTAAAGTTATCAACTTGATATTTGGAAGGATTACGTATGAAACCATTAACAACAGACCATCGTTAATTGAAATGCAAGAACTCGTTCATTTCAAGAGGGCATGAAGAGGTAGAAATCCCCATTCGTAATATACACATCTGGATCATCAATCTACTTAACAAAGTGTTTTCCATAGAAGGTGGTAGGGCGATCATGCTTCGAATGTATGACATTCACATTTTACCCATAAATTATCATAGTAAAAGAGATAACTTAACGTAAGCAACAAAAACATACTTCCATTGAGAATTATTTATTTGGATGAATGCATTAGTCATTGTTAATGATCTATTTCTCTGGATTGAATGCGATAGCGTTAATGACTACAAGTCACCCCACCTTATGCAGTAAACAGATAACATGAATCTGATTAGATCAATTTTCATCGGCTTTCAGTCTTTGTCATTAATCTCGTGAAGATGAGACAGCAAACTAGTCAGATGGAATGCAAATCCTGTCGACGTATCCATACTTGATGAAATACAATGATTGAGGATATAAATAGGCATGTGAACGAATGTTTAAAGTTTTATTTAATCCATGAAATTGGTTATCTCCATTACTGTATTGTGAATTCTTACTTATTTCAGTTAAAGTTGGAATTAGTGATTGTGGAAGGTGAATTGTTCACAAATCTCCATTGCAGATAGCTAAACGATGATGAAATTGGTATTTAATGATGTGTTGGCGGTAATCAATCAGAACAATTCTACTTGCATGTAAGACATTTATCATTCCATTTGACAGATTCAGCTTCCAAAGGCTTGAAAGTCCAATTGTTCTCAGTGGTCTCATTTTAACGTAAGTAATACATGTTTTAAATACAGGTATTACCCAGAAATCCTAACGATCATTTTCCATGTTTTACCATGACGTATTATTCAATGAATTGATTAATACACTTTGATGAGAAATTTGATCCATGTTTAACAAGAATATTATGATTGAGGAAGGGGAATAAAGTTTATTTCTTTCCCGGTGGAAATCATCTTCACTTTGTGTTACATTATGTCACAATACATGATCACATTGAAAGGTATTTATGTGTATATTTATTTCAACAACAATATTAATACAAAGAGTCAGAGAATAGAAATGCACCACACAAATCAGTTGATTTGTGTGTGGGCTGTGATATTGCGCGGGTGATCAGACCGAAGATGTTGGTTTTCTTAGGAAGCTACATTCGGAGTCACAAGGCAACGTCACCGGATGCAATCCCATCGTAGCCGATGACCAACAATTAGTTCATATGCCATTTGTTTCCTTATGATTCTGGAGCCCATGTACATCGCTGATTTGGAATCAGGGTTTGCCAACTTGCCTAAATGGATTCCGCATATGCATTAAGCCGGTCAAAGAGCCGGACATTCACTTTTTATCCTCACAATTTCGTAAACAACACCCCCACCACAAGAAGGCAGTGATTAAATCTTCCATGGTAATAGGTGTATATGCGTGTCCATGTGAGAGCATTTCGAGAGGGAGAGCTAATTCTCTCCACCATCAGCCGTACCAGGGAATTCGGGCGATGAAATGAAATATTCAAGAGATCATTCCTTAGGTATTCTCCACTTATCTGTTGTTTTGACAAGTTTTACAAACTCTGGAAAATATCAAACTGAGAAGTTGAGGGACTTATTTAACCATTTTATGCATACATATTGTGTAGAACATTTGATGCATATTACTATGCTTTATTGTATCTGTGAGCTCCGTATTTTGTACATATATTTTCCTTTATATTTCAGATTTATAGGTTTACTCATTGGATTAGTAATCATATTTATTAAGAAACTACATTCTACATCCATAATAAACAGTATCTTCATGGTTATAACGGTCAGTTGAATATGGTTTTAATATTACATTCATGATAGTTTCGTCCAACTATCGATTGAATTTAGTTGAATGTTGTTTGTTGAATAAAACATCAATGTTGTCATGTTCGTTTGATAACGGTGATCAGGATCAGGTGATCTTTGAAGGTTGACTTGAATAGATGAGTTTGATCGTTGTAATTTATTTTAAGACGACATCATGTCTAGAGGCCCAGTTTCTATAGTTTCACTGAGTTCATAAAAATGTTGACGTATATTGATGATCTGGTCGAATCATGAGCTATTACTTAACTGATAACTGGCGAAAATAACATCACATTAAAAGGTATCTGTCTGTTCATGTTATGGACAATTGAGAAATAAGTAGACATGGTTACATATAATAACGGTACATTCCACTCTTATCTACGTTTGTTGTGATAACCATTTGCAAGATGTGGAATGAGCTGTGAACACAGAAAAATCAACTAAACAAATTGAATTTGTGTCATTTTCATTTGTATAATCATCCACACACACTTTGTCTATCACTGAACTTGTTTTCTATTATACACCAGTGATCATTTAGTGCTTCAAGTCGCAGACACATTACTAGCTGTCGTAGTTGTTGGTTTACCCAGATTGGTGTAGTTCACACCGTTTAGATGAGAACGAAACCTCATATAAAATGTTCATGTGTTATGGATGAGCGAATTAGCTTTGAATATATTTCAGGTTTATCATTATGATAGACATGGATAGAGATTCCTTGTTATGTGCTTGCATCTATAACTATTCATTGTTAAGCATTTCAATCAAATGCAGGAGAGTGAAGATTCATTAATTGTCCAATAGTTGACCGATTCAACTTTTAAACTAATGGTAATTAATTTGATGATACTACTTTTTCCATATTCAGTTTATAATTTTGATTATTGGTGTTGGATTACTAAATTTACATACAAAATGGTATGAAATAATTATTTCTGTAACTGTGGATACCACGTTGGCCAGCTTAGCGATTTATTGGGTGTAAAGCTACAAGTTCGAGAAAGAAAATTGAAGATAATCTCCTTCTCGATATGGTGTGTGTTTGGGGGAATTGGACTCATTCTCTTGATTATAGGGGCGGCACTTTCCAACGTAAGTTTATCTAATCATAGATTTGCACAAACTAGTAGCAATTAGTGATTATTATTGATTTGCTAATGGTTTACTCGAATAGCTACAGTTTTCCCAACAAAATACGCTGATCATGAGATTGCCATGCTTTTTGTACTTGTTTGTATAGCATCTGTGCAACTCCTTGTGTATGTGGAGCATTTTCTTCTTCATGGCCGGAGTATAATAGCAGCTCCCCTGAAGCTAATCGTTGCTGTTTAACCTGCGCCCAAATGTGTTTCAATGATTTCAAGCACCTCCAGGTTGTATGTGGATGACTGTCCCGGTCTCCCATATTGTACGAGCATTCCGTGTACCTAAATTAATGGTTGCTCTGATTCTCACAAAGGAACATCAGCCTCGTGACTTCCGAGTGAACTCGGCTTTCACCATGAGCCGTCATAACTGTTCTAAATGAAGACCTACTAACTTCTAGAGCAGAGTTTAAATGATTTAAGTTATTTTTTCTGGTTAGCGTTTTTTAGCAAGTTAGTTTTCTACAGGATTGGGTCACTAACCCATACTCAACCCTCCTCCTTTATGTGGGTTTTGGACTGTCAGTAGCCGCATGAGGGCTCCAGGCGGAGTTTTCTCATCAAATATAAACCGCAAAATGAAACCAGTTCATTGTTAGAATCACTAACTTGAATGTTTCATGATACAGTCGTTGAAGAAACTAATTCGTTGTTTAGACAAGTGTCAAGCATGAGACAGGATGGGTAAATGATGTCGAAATTCAGGATAACAGACTGACTGAACTCTTACATGAAGTCAGTCAGTCAGCTACATGTTAGTTTAGAATCGGTAGAGTTAATTAGCAGAGTAATACTGTTTCTTAACTGATATTGATATAGATACATGATGAATTGAAGTGAATTGTTTTCTTTCCTTTATTCCAGTATATTGTACTTGGTGTATCCTGGATTTGTTGGTGCTGTGCAATGTTAATTGTAAGTTTTGAATAAATAAAATGTGAATACAAAAAACAACTGTCCATTGATTATTATGCATTCAAATATGTGGTTCTGTAGAAATTAGAACTTTGAAGCATTAGTGTTTTCTATTCAGAACATCCAACAAGAATTCATCATGAAGCACTTTGAAGGATGGCTGAAAGCGAGACATCGACTGGTGAAGTATTTATCGCTTAGTTCGTTTCTTTAGTTGAATGGCTCAATAATTGACAGATCAGAATACTGGACACTTACTGTTCATTTGTTATGTATGGATGTTTAGAAATTGCAAAGTTGTCAACCCTATATCTGTAAATGCCTATTATTTCACCGATACATTTGTTGATATGAATACATCAATAATGAAATAATCAATTGAAGCTAGACCACCATGGAAAACGTGCGAGCACTGGAAGGCCGTTCTGTCCTATTTTGGGACTCCTCAGTGGCAATGCGCATCCACGATTCCACCTCGCGAGATTCGAACACAAAACCTATTGATCTCGTGAGCAAACTATTATGATACTACTATAATATCCACAAAACTCCCTTCTGATACTAATGAATTAATCATCTATGTTTTGACTATTACAGGTAATTGTATACACAGCATATTATTTGGATAGATCCAGTGAAGAAGAACAGTCCCGTGTTATGTTCATTATTTTCTTATGGTCTTATGAATATACCGCACTAATTATCAGTTTACAATTCTGTTTAAACTCATTCATTGATTGTCATTCGAGCAGTGGGAAAACTGAATGAGACAATGATTGATTATGATGAATAGATGCTATTCCATTGAATGTTTTTATATGTTTGAAAATTGTTGTAAACTACTTTGTTATTTATAATAGATGTTCTGTTAAAAAGTTGTTCGCCTCTTGGATTAAGTTCCTGGATTGAAAATATTCGTTTAAAAGGCAAACAGATATTGAAGCACATTACGATTGTACTTGAAATTACAACAAACCAAATTGACTGGAATCATTTGTTCAGCGATCGTAGTCCACAAAGACACACGTATCGTGACATTGAGAAATCACGTATTTTCAGTGATCGGTTTTGTAAGTCTGACACGGTTCAAGCTGTATCAGTCAGTCAGTCAGTCAGTTATAACGTAGGATCAAGCATATGTATGCGTCGATCCAATTGGCCATACCTCATTGGCACAACAAGATGAACACCGAATCCATAGAAGTAGTTAATTTAGTGGTGGTATTATATAAAAGAAAGATTGTATATAAGGACGTAGTACAGGAAGAAAGAATTAGTGAGTGGAAAGAAAGATATGAAGCGATTTCAATCTCATAGTTTAAGGGAAGATAGAGAGTGTATACACCTACACCACGTGGACCCAAACCAAGTGCCGAATGGTTTCGATTGGTCCTCTAGACAACATCAACCGCCTTGATTACAACTAGAAGTAGGCAAAGAAAATTTCTTGTCTTAATAGTAACATATAGTGTCTTTCGAACTGGACATTCACTGTTTGAATACAAGTACATCTAGCTAATGAGTTCCAAATAGGATGAAACCAACGTCCTGGATTCCTCTGCTAAATACACCACATCTATTCTATAAAAGTTTGTAACAAGGAAGATACCTATTTAGTTTGAATACGATTTGTATATACTAAGTCCGATGAAAGTCCAGTGAAAATGCAAACTACGAGGTGATCCATGCAATAAAAATTGAATTAAAATAGATGGGAGATTAAATATATAGTCCGTATATTGAATGCCAATAAAGCTTTCACGGTGTGTGCATCAGCGATAACCATATAAAGCTGAGAAAGTGATCTTTGGAATTTTCCTACCACGTGTATGTATACAAAAGTATTTTGTTCATTTATTTTCCCTACCATATCCTTCACGAACTATCGGTAACAAAAATGAACATTTTTTGCAGCCCATTACTTTGGATAGTTATCAATATTATCTCCAGAGTTACGTTCATCATTTTATTTTATCCTTATTTTACACATTATTCACATGACCCCCTTGCTTTGTCTTTAGGAACGCAATCCAGGACATAAGTTTTATTGTATTTGGAACTTGTCAGCCAGTTACATATACACCCCGATGTTGGTGTTCACACTAAGACTTAAAACCATTCCCTACCGTTTTAAACACTTAAGGTTTATACGCTTCGTTAGTGAGACCATATAGTCATCAACCTTTTCAAAGTATTGGTAAAGGTTTGTGATTTCCCACTGTCTATTTGTCCGTAATTAATTAGTCTCTTGTACCATTTGTTCGTCCTGAGCGGGTCTCTTCGACATAACTACTTAAAAATTAAGGTATCAAGATATTTGGATTATGTAACGTATTAGTGGTTTATTCATTTCGTTATTCCTCTATCTCTTAAACACACACCGACCAAAAATGTGTATTTGTTTAAATTTCAATTCATCAATAATGAGACTATTTAAAACCCTAGATAAAATCCACAAGTAATCAAGTGTATCAGAAGGGTTTTCCGAATACTTTAGTAATTCCAATGGTTAGGATCATGAGTCAATTGAAGCTAGACCACCATGAAAAAACTGGAAGCACTGGACAGCCGTTTCATCCTATTGTGGGACTCCTCAATGGTCCAGTGGTTTAACGCTCACGCGTAAGACTGATAGGTCCTGAGTTCGAATTCAGCGTTGCAGGATCGAGGGTGCTCACTGCCACTGAGGAGTCCCACAATAGGACGAAACCGCCATCCTGTGCCTTCAGATTTTCCATGGTTGTCTAGTTTTAATTGACTCATGATCTCAACCATTGAAACTAATTCAATGTAGTCAAACTACTTGAGATGTTTAAGTAGTATAACTCGGCACATGAAAATCAGTGATGTTGATACATCACTTATTGGACTTACACAATAATGCTTTCTTTTACCATGACAATAGATTTTCCCACTAGTTATTATTTAATCACACAATAATGACACCACACGGCCAATTATTCGAAGGAATTCTCCATGTTTACTTTGAATTTGTAGGTAATGAGGGAGATTATTTTACTATTACTTCTCCCATTACTAGCTAATGTTTTCGCCCTCCAGATTTAGAAGGAACACAACAATCATTATACCTCTTTATTATCAAGAATGCTGTGCTACTACCTAGAAATAGATCTCAATGAAAAAATAGTTCGTTGCTTCTGGTCAACAAAGTTTAAGACTTGAAATAGTAACTGTTTTACCATACTTCTAGTTACTTTCACGATTATATACATTTCACATTGGTAATGTAGTGAACGAGAACACACAAGTAGAAACAATCGAATGTATTCTAATACAAAATTACAGGTTTATTTGATAAACTGTGAATACCATAGGTTCAATAGTTTACTTGCAAAATGTCCACCAATTGTCCTAAACTTTGTTGTTCCTCCATTTTCATACCAATCATCCTTTGTTCCCGTTCCCTTCTATTCGATCTTCTCAACCTTCTGCTGTCAGGCATTCTACTTTCGACTGATGATACATACTACTTATATCTGTGGATATCAGTAGCACACACTGCAATAATACTAATATTTCGTCAACAGGATTTGCGAATGAGGATTTTGAATTCTGAATTCTTTTCATCGAAGTTATGTTTGTTTAAATATAGTTAAAAACCAATCGTCTATCACATTTTGACTTTCTTTTATATAAATAAACTATTCATCTCTACTACAGAACATAGTTCCTTTATAATTCACCTTGTATTATTGCTTGTATCTTCCCATTGTTGTTAAGGACTGTAATTGATCAGTTTTTTTGTCGGTATATGTGAATCCTGTGTGGATTACTTCAATATTGCCTTAAGTTAAAAGCTTTATAAGCAAAGATTGATGACGGCTACCAGCGAAATTTAGGATGCACGTCTCGTCCTATTTAAGACTTATCAACTGGATGTACTTGCATCCCAGGGTTGATGTTCACTCCGGGACTCGAACTCAGCACCGTTCGCTTCAAACGTCATCACGTTGTTCACTTAGCTACTAAATCTTGAACGTACGTATGGCAACAAAAGACTGATTATTTGCAGATCTTAACAACAATCGGAAGATACAAGTAAATAATACCAAGTGAATTTAAACTTCACCTCATTGTTCAAACAGATGGCTATCAGGATAGAGTAGCTAGGTGGATAACATGATTACGTCTAAAGTGAACAGTACAGAGTTCGAGTGTCGAAGTGAACATCCACACTAAGATTCAGATATATTCAACGGACATGCCTTAAATAGGACAAAACTCACATCAAACTGAATTCCACTATTAGTTACCACTCATCTTTGTTTATCGTCTCTTTTTATGCTTTGACAAACTCTATTTCATATACTAACATAAATATAATGAATACACAATCTGTTGATTTAACTAATTATCCATATCATTTACCAAAATTTGCATATATTTATCATTGTTTCTTGCTGGGTTTCCTTTTCCATTGCTTAAGGTGTTTTCTTCTTTCTTTAAATCAACCAACTTTACTAACAGGCGGGAAAACAAATTGTTCTCTTCTTTCCTTCTTTGTTGTTGTTGTTGTTTTTTGTATTGAACGAGTAAACTAAGCATAAATAAGCAGTTGAATAACATTAAAACCAAGAAAATAGATTACAATATAATAGAAAAACAAACAATTTTCTTTGATTGATAGAAAACATTAAGAAATGAATATTGCCTTAAGGCAATGATGATTTGGAATCTTAGTTGATAGTGTGGTTATGGTTGTTGTTGTTGTTGTCGTCGTCGTTGTTGTTGTTGTTTAGTCCATATATATCACTTGATCTTTCTTTATGAATCATTAATGAATGCAAGTTGATGTGTATCTCCATGTGTATAAAGTTGGCTTATTTTGGATCATACAACTTTGTTTGTGTATATGAAATGAGATGGAATGAGGTTGGGATGTGATAATGAGTCCATATTTTAGAAATTAAACAATTTTATCAAGTTAATCAACTTAATATTTGTATATATATAAACTTGTTTAATTCCTTATAGAATTGATTTATTATTTCCATCGTGTACTGTTACTGTGGCGTATACTACTGATATGTTAACAAATATAAGTAGTATATATCATCAATCGAAAGTGAAATGCTTGGAGGCAGAAGATAAAGAAGATCGAAGGAAAGAGGACGAGAACGAGAACAGAGAATGATTGGTATGGAAACGAAAGAACAATGAAGTCTTAGACAATTGTGACTGACATTTTGTAAATGAGGAATTTACTGTATGGTTCTCAGATTTTACTTAGACGCTTTGTAATTTTATGTTCAATTACATTCGTTCTCTACATCACTACTATTATAATCTTGGTTTCTTTTTCAAAGTGCCCAATTGAGTATGTGAGTTTAATAACTGAAGTAATTACATCATCTTTCTAGCTTCTGAAAATAGTTCCAACCGAATGATCGGCAGCTAACACATAGAATACATGATTATTGTTTCCTGATAAATCAACTGAGAAGAGTTTATACTTATTCTCAAGGGTGGCCAAATCAAGACGTGGGATCAGTGCTTGAAGTCATTAACTTCTAGTCTGACCCATGTTGGTAGATGCAGACCACTTGGTTGAGGTCCGCATGACTATCGTAACCAATGGTTGGAGACGCTGTGTGACATGGCCTAGAATCGATCATAATGGCGTCGGTGTATACACTCTCTGTCTTCCCTTAAACTGTGAGATTTAAATCGCCTCATATCTTTCTTTCTATGAACTAATTCTTTCTTCCTGTACTATATCCTTATATACAATCTTTCTTTTATATATT